TATATCAGGGTTTGCTTCATTTTGTGTTATCTGCTAGGTTTTGAAATCTGTAGGGAACTCAGAAAAAGAATATATTGTTAGATGACTGTGCATTTACCTAAGTTTATGATGATAAAGATGACAACTATAATTGTTAAGTTTGCAGTTGCTTTTGCTAATAGTAATTTTATTTGCTGTGTGTTTCTAAGGTGTTTGTGGTGACTGTTTCTTTTGAGTATGGCTAAAATGAAAGATAAAGAAAAACCTAATTGAAGCTTTCTTGACTAAGTCTAAATATTCTGATAAGAAGGAGGCGGAAAAATATTTTGAAACTTAGATGAACACTGTTGCATACATTTTTATTGTTTATATCTTTCCCTATAGAATAGAATTGTCTTGGAATTTAAATTTAAATTTAAGACTAGATATTAAAAGTAGAAGCCTACTTAACACAATTTTATACATACGTAGTTTTAATGAACTTTTCTTATCTGGGCTGATGGTGCTCCCTTCAAGAGCCAAAGGCCATCCAACAAGAACCCCAGTCCTAGACATGAGAAATCTTGTTTTGAGTTGCTGGTCAGGACTGTCCAAGGGACTTCCAAAACATACAGCCTACTACTGTTGCCCTTGGTTATTTCCAGAGGTGGAAGGTAAGTCCCTATTTCTGAAGATATTACCCCCTTCAGAAATGGTCCAAAGGCCCTGAGCTGGAACTGACCTGAATGTTCCCTCCCTCAGGACTGGCTTTCATGGTACAAAAGATGCCATGCAAGTTTCCAAAGGAGGGAGGCAGCCAACAGTGCTACCCAGCTGTGGTACTTATGAATCATATCAGCAGCCAGCATGGCACAATAATCTCACAGGTGCAAAAGTGGCACACATACCTTTGCAATAACCAACAGCTTTCCAATTGGACTTAAAACCCACTCAACAAGAGGTATGCCATACCTGGTACTGGAAACCTCGCCAACTACTCAGTGCTAGTGAAGTCATGGTTATTGGCGAAGAATCAACAACCACAATTTATTAAACCAGCACAGTCTATAAACATTTATCCTTATACACACATGTAAATGAAGTCTTTACCCCTCATCAAGAAAACTCTCCTTTCAAAAGATGAAGACCAGGACAAAAAAAACCACAACTAATTAAAATTCAAAGTTGTGGATTCTAGTCCCAATAGATATATCTTCTTTATAGAAGCCCCACAGCTTAGGCTCAGGGAACACTAAGGAAGGAGGGGCAGAAAGATTGTTAAGAGCCAGAGGATCAGGGAGTTGGCTGTGAAATTGAATCTCCTAGTAACATCAGAAGCTATGCTCATAAAATCTTAACAACGTGATTATCCAAATGTGAGCTGAACAAGGGTGATGTTAATGAACATGCTAACTGGATAGGGAAAAGCCCATAAAGAAAAAGCCTACACAGAGAGCCAAGGAAAGCTGGGAATGGGAGAGGTAGTCTTCTCCAGGGAAGAGCATGCTAACTGGTTATCCAATGCCATATGGGCAGCCCTGAAAACATACATGTAAGTGTTATTATTCAGATCCAACAGGTTATATTTTGAGAATATATTTTATATGCAATTACATATATTCATGTAATAACAATAAGTGAGAAAAGAGACCGTGGATTTGAAAGAGCATGGAGGTCTGTATGGGAACATTTGGAGGGAAGAAAAGAAGAGAGAAATTATGTAATTATAACCTTAAAAAAAGAATAAGAACTGCTTACTCTTAACTCTGCTAAGGGTATATTGATGCTTGGTTGATTAACTTGCTCATAAAATGTTTGTTCTCTAGATTGGATGTTGGAAAGCCATAACCTGTGAGTTAGATCATTGGTGTCTGTGTGTGTGTGTGTGTGTGTGTGTGTGTGTGTGTGTGTGTGTGTGTTTGCAAGTTTTATTGGAATACAGCTATGCTGATTCAGGCATCCTTTGATTCTCCAGTGGTGATATTGGGTAGTTGCTGTAGAGATCATATGATCCACAGGATTAAAATATTTATGAGGTGACTCTTTAAAAAAAGATTATAATCTCAGTAAATAAATAAAATAAATAAAAGTTGGTCAATATCATTCTTCTGAAAATGTTAAAAAACATATTTTGAGTTGGAATAGAATCACATTTTCTGTCCTCCCTTCTCTCCCTCTAGCCCTACCCAGCCTCGCTCCCTCAACCTCTCCTGTGTCCCCTTTCCCAAATTGATAGCCTTTCCTGTGATTATTATTAATACATATATACACACATATGTGTGTGTATGCACAAATGCAACTAGCTTAGAAAAAGATGTGTTCACTATTATTTTGTAGTTAGATTGTGCTGAGAGTCTGGTGGAGATAGATGAGGTCTGGCTTGTATTTAATTCTGCTTCATCATAAGGCAGAAATCATGAAACAATTAAATAAGATGAAACATGATTACTGTGGATGTTAGTCTCCATTCTTCCTTACCATAGCAGGGATGACAGCACTGTGATATTGCTGCAGGAAGGGAGAAATGTAAATTCTGAACCTTGCAATCATGCTGTCCCTCTAATTATAATTATAATAATAATAATAATTATTATTATTTTGGTGTAGCAATACGTGTTCGCCATCTTAGTCACATATGTAAAGTCTATTCTTACTACAGCAAATGTGAAGGCAAATTTCAATTTGTTTCTTGGACTGTAGTTCTAAGGGTTCATGAGGAAGGCCTGGTTTTGTTCTAGAAGATAGAATAGAAGATGGGTTCCCACATTTTGAAAGAAATTTGAAAATCAAACAATGGTGAAATCGGGGCTGCAGTCTTAGGGTAGGAACACTTGGCTATTGTCAGGTCCAAATTCTGGAAGTTTGCAAAAGCCATAAGTCTTCTAGAATTTGTGAAGCTGCTTTGCTTCCCCTCTACCAAAGGAGCTAGTTCCCTTATCACTTGCAGAAGGGACCAAATAGCTCTTGATGATGTCTTCTAGCATGCCAAAGTCCATGCTGGTCTCCAGGCTCCCTCAGTTTCACAGGTACCTGTTACACACTTCAGAGACCCTCTCCTTTCATGGTCTCCTTTCTCTCTCTGCTCTGGACTCGTGCAGAAGTCTCTGGTCGCTCTCCCTGATACCTACAATGAAATCTTCTATTCATTCACACCTTGGAGTGGTCATGTCCTCAGTTTATACAGAAAACACCAATGTCAAGGGCTGAGTTATGATGGGAGATGTCATTCTGTAAATATGTTTCTCTTATTGGATAATGAATAAAGCACTATTGGCAAATAGGAAGACAAGATAGGCAGGACTAGGAGACAAGGAGGATTCTGGGAGATGTAGGAGAGGAGATTTAAGATGTAGGACTTGAGAGGAGTAAGGGGTCTGGACCTTCTCTCCGGTAAGATAAGACCATGTGGAAACACTTAGATTGATAGAAATGGGTTTATGTTTAAGACAGAGCTAGCCAATAAGAAATGCTAGTAACAGGCCAACAGCTTTATTTCTAATACAGCATCTCTGTGTGTTATTTGGGGCTGACATGGCAGTGGGACCAGGCTGGTGGGAAAACTGCTCTTAAAAGAGTTATTTTACTTGAAAGGAATAATTAGACTACTTTGAAACTTAGAACCTCACTTCAAGTTATTGTAAAACCAACATTCATATAGGAAAAACAACCTTATATTTTGTGAGATTACTTAGTAGTAGTTCTTTTAGTCCTTGATGTTGCCACAGAAACAGTCCTACAATGAGATAGTATTAAAGAAGCTAGATACTGTGTCAATAACCCCACTTGAAATTTGTTATTCACAATGAATTTAATTCCATTGTAGTCCTACTAGGTTCTCTTGCTGGTTAAAGGTAGCAGAATTTCTCAGTATTATTTCCTGTTTACCTTAACTACCTCAGTGCATTCAACCTAAATTTTATATATAATCATCTTATTAAAATCAAAAGCAAAATACTTTCTTTCTTCTTCTTCTTCTTTTTTTTTTTTTTGCTTCCTTATTTTAAATTAGGCTGGGATTTCAATACAGATACATATCAGTCTCCTCTTTTCACATCCAGGGGTCTAAGTCATGAAGTAGTTTTCTTAGAATTGCAAATTGAGTCAGTCAGTGTAAGATTATGAATGTAAATGTTGAATTTATATTGTTTTGTATATTTAGAGAATCAGATGATGAGGGTTGAAAAGTAATTGTATGTCTGGAAACAGGTATCATGGAAGATTTAGGGTTGTTTCAGTTTCTTGAATTTCTTGTTATTGAGAGATTATGAGTTATCTTGCTAGGTTTTGGGGATAGTAGGAGGAGAGCTGTAAGACTCAGTGAGCTACAGTTAGTATTAGCATACTTATATTGATAGGAAAAACCAACAAAGATAGATTTGGAGATAGAAAGAAAATGTATTTACAAGTAGCAAATTTTGTTTTCCATTCCTTGACAAAGTTGCAGATTAACTAGTACCAGGCAGACTCATAGAATCTTCTGTCCTTTTCAATTGGACAAGCCATCAAAGAAAACAGTAGTTAGCTGTTTCTGATTCCTCCAGAAGGTCTTGTGTTTTTAACTGTGGTTTGCATGTAAGTGGTAGCCTGTATTATGTCTGCCTTGTTGCTACATTCATCTCTCTCTCTTGTTTTGCCAGATATGCAGTAGATTTCCTTACTTCTTATGATAGAATCTGTTTCCAAGATTTGTTTTTTTTTATTTTATTTTATTTTGTAATTTAAGTCAGTGTTCCATCATGTGAGGTTTTGTTGGGCTTTTACTAACCATTCCAGTTTTTTGTGTGTGTCTTATTCTCAAAAATCATGCTTAGACCAAAAAGGTCTTAATTTTTTGGGGTCTGTACAGGAGACCTGAACAAGTTGGTTATTGAGATATAACACTAATTTCAAAACTATCCTAGGTAATTTATATTTTTACTTCCCATTGTTTATGATTTTGGAATATTATGTATTTTCTTTTTAATAGGCTTATTGCTGTGTAGATTTTTTTTTGTCTTGTGAACATTATGAATAATCTTTTGGTGAATTATGTTTTCTTGCAGTCCAAGGCGGTTGGCTTGTTAGATGTAGATGTGTATGGTCCCTCCATCCCAAAGATGATGAACCTGAAAGGAAATCCAGAATTATCACCAAGTAAGTTCAGAAGAGGTAACTAGTACCTACTGAGTGCCAGGCACTTAGCCAGCATGTGCTTTTTATATGTCATGTCATGTTCAGAAATGATGTTGACATCACTCTCTGTAGGTTTGAATTTCAGTCTGTCATTGTCCAACTGTGTGGCTCTGAGGAATCTATTCCATCTTGTTGTGCCTTGGTCCCCTACACATACAGTGGGGTCACAATTGCTGTGAGGAATATTATACATGGAGCATTTAGCACAATTCATAGCACTAGTTCATGATAAAAATATTAAGTATTTAATGTATGAGAATATTTGAGTAGAAATACATTTTTATTAAATGAAAGTTATATTTTATAAACAGACTTTTCTTAGAGCATTAACAAACAAACTCCTCAAAACAATGGTTTGATGCCCTGTAGTTTTAGTGCCTTCTATATAGGATGAAGTAGCTTTTTTGAATAAATCTTAAGTATTTTCACTGTTCTTGTTATTACATATTTGTAAGGCTCCCAAATATAAAGTTTTAAGTATAGGAATATAGTCATAAAAATGGTAAAAACTGGTTATTAAAATGGTTTTATGTGAAATTTTTCTAAATAAAATTGGTTTCTATTGTGATAAAATGTAAAATTGAGTAATTTCTTTTTGTTTTTTATAGGCCTTCTGTTTTCCATAGATCTAGGACAAAATATTTGTACAGATTTATTTATTAGGTTATTGAGGTCATAGTATTATTTTTATTATAATTAAAATTGATTAGGTATTTGCTCTTTAAGGTGGTTACATATGTGATTATTTGGAGGCATCAATTATGCAGAAGTCTGGATTGTTCTTTATGAGATGGTCTGCCTTAGGGGTCTTATACTGCAAGCTGCCTCTTATGTAGTTGTTTCCTTATCTCATGAAATCATGGGGCTTCTTTTGGTGCAGCACAGTTTGCAAACATGTGACATGAACCATGATGTCAGTGTTACCAAGGAGAGTGGTGATGACTTCAGGCACTCTAAATATCTGTTTCTTTAAGGACCACTGTGAAAACTGATTCACGTCACACAAGTGTGATGCCGAGTACAACCCTTCTTTTCTCAAGCAATGCACTAGAAACCTTGGAAAGCAAAGCAAACAATAGCCCAAGGTTGTTCTGTGCCAACAGGATATCTTGGTTCCCCAGGAAATAAACAAGAGGACTTAGGTGTTCATTGACAGTGTGTATTCTTAAAGTCTGAGCAGTAAAGTATTTCTTTTTTTTTTTTTTTCCTTTTTTTCTCTTTTTTTTTTTATTTAACTTTATATAACAAAGTCCAATTAAATGAAAACAAACATTTATACACAATATTTGGGAATTTGGGCGTCGTTCTTTCCAAACTACTTCCTGCTGGTAAGGGGCGCTGTCATTGGGGATTCGAAGAAGATTCAGTAAGGTATTTCTTAAGTCTTACAAAACTTGCTGCCATCATACTAATAGGTTTCCTTTTGAATGTCCTGTTATTCTGTTACAAAGAATACTGAGGAAAGGTAAAGTCTACATGGCACAACATAGATTAAAAGGAATAGGTTCATTTGAGGAATAAGAGCTAGTTGGAGACAAATCTAAGCTAAAGGCCATACTTTCATAAATAATAAGTCTCCATGTCATTGTTTGGGGGCTAAATATCCAAAGATAGTCTGACAAGAAGCTTGCTACAAATGCTTTCAAGACTGTTCCCCACTTTTTTCTCAGTGTGTCTGTTTTTATGTTGAGGTCTTTGATCCACTTGGACCTGTTTTGTATGGGGTGATAAATATGGATTTATTTGCATTCTTTTACATGCAGACATCCATTTTGACCAGCATTATTTGTTGAAGATGCTTTCTTTTTTTCCAGTGTGTCTTTCAGACTTCTTTATCAGGAAATTGGGTGTCTGTAGGTGTGTGAGTTTACGTCTGGGTCCTCAGTTCAATTCCATTGATCAGCGTGTTTGTTTTTGTGCTAGTACCATGAGGTTTTTATTACTGCAGTTCTGTAGGACAACTTGAAGTCAGGGATGGTGATACCTCCAACAGTTCAGGGTTATCTTAGCTATCCTGAGTTTTTTTGGTTTTTCCATACAGAGTTGAGAATTGTCCTTTCAAGATCTGTAAAGAATTGTATTGGAACTTTGATGGAGATTTCATTGAATTTGTAGATTGCTTTTGATAGGATTGCCATTTTTACTATGTTAATCCTACTGATCTATGAGCATGGAAGATCTTTCCATCTTCTGATATCTTTTTCAAAAATTTGAAGTTTGTATAATACAAATCTTTCACTTGCTTAGAGATACCTCAAGGTATTTTACATTATAGGCTATTATGAAGAGTGTTGTTTCTCTGAATTCTTTCTCAGTCCATTTGTCATTTGTATATAGGAGGGCTATTGATTTTTTTTTAATTTAATTTTGAATCCAGCTACTTTGCTGAAAATGTTTATCAGCTATAGGATGTCCATTGTGGAATTTATGAGGTCACTTACACCATATCATCTAGAAATAATGGTACTTTGGCTTCTTCCTTTTCAGTTTGTGTTCCTTTGATCAGTTGTCTTATTGCTCTAGATAAAACTTCAAGTATGGTATTGAATAGATATGGAGAGAATGGACAGCCTTGTCTTATTCCTTATTTTAGTGGAATTGCTTTGAGTTTCTCTTTATTTAATTTGATGTTGGCTATAGACTTGCTGTAAATTACATTTATTATGTGTATGTCCCTTACATCCCTAATCTCTCCAGGACTTTTATCATGAAGGGTGTTGGATTTTGTCAAAGGCTTTTTCATCATCTAATGAGATGATCATGTTCTTTTTTTTTTTTTCTTTTAGTTTGTTTATATGGTGGATTACATCGACACATTGTCAAATTTTCATATGTTGAAACATCCCTGCATCTCTGGGATGAAACCTACTTTTTTTCTGGTCCAATCTATTTGGTGTTTTGTGATTTTATTTTGTACCTTTATAGGTATGCCCTTCTTTAGATTTTGAAAAATTTCTTCTATGATTTTGTTGGAAATATTTTCTGGATCTTTGAGCTGGGATTTTTCTCTATTCCTATTTATTCTTAGGTTTGGTTTCTTTACAATGTTCCAGATTTTCTGGATGATTTGTGTCAAGAATTTTTTAGTTTTAACATTTTCTTTGACCAATCTATCCATTTCTTCTATTCTGTCTTCAATGCCTGACATTCTGTTTTCCATCTCATATGTTTTGTTGGTGAAGCTTGGCTCTGTAGTTCCTGTTTTCACTTCTAAATTTTTCATTTCCAGAATTCTTTCTATTTGTGGGAATTTCTTCTATTTCCATTTTTAGGTCTTGAACAGTTTTATTTATTTCCTTCAGTTGTTTCTTTTTTTTTTTCTTTTAATGGATTTATTAATTTCTTTTAAGTGTGTATTTTTCTGGCTTTCTTTGAAGGATGTATTCGTTTCCTCCCATTGTTTGTGTTTTCCTGGATTTCTTTAAGGGTTTTTTTATTTCCTCTTGAAGGACTTCTATTATCTTGTATAGTTGGTTTTAAGGTCTTTTTCTTGTGCTTCAGTTCTGTCAGAATGTTCAGGGCCTCCTGTGGTAGGATAGCTTGGGCTCTGGTGAAGGCATATTTCCCTGGGTGTTAATTGTGTTCTTATGCTGATGTCCATGGGGTGATTATAGGTCTAGGTGCTTATTTCTGGATTTGTTTTAGTTGGGTGGGAGTTCCTTGTTTTCTGCTGCTTCTCTGCCTGTTTTATTGAGCTATTAGGCTGTTGTGTTCACAGGAAACACTGTGGAGGCTGGGGGGAGGGAAGATGGATGGGGGAGAAGGTGTGTTGCAGTGTTAGGGGTGACCCTGAGAATTGGATCTGGGGGAACAGAGAGAGTGGAGAAGGTCCATGGGTAGTTGTTGCTGGAAGTTTTCTTGTCCTGCCAGGTCCCGCCACCCTTTTAGCTCCAAATAAACACACAAACAATTCATTAGTTATAAAACTGTTAGCCAGTGGCTAGGGCTTCTTACTGGCTATTTGTCTCTTAATTATTAATCCATTTCTATTAATCTAAGTATTCCCATGTGGTCTTATCTCACTAGAGAAGGGTCTGGACCTGTTACTCCTTCCTTGACTACATGGTGTCCCTCTGTGGTCCCTCTCTCAGAATTCTCCTGCTAGTCCCACCTACCTTCCTGCCTCTGTTGGCCAAACAATGTTTTGTTCATCAACCAATAAGAGAAACATATATGCAGAAGGACGTCCCCCATTAGGTAGCCTTCATGGTCACCTGGCAGGCTTAGCCTATGGTTAAGCAGGGGGTGTCTGCCTGAATTGGGTGTTGGGACACAGTCATTAGGTAGGAAGGGAAGGTCAGGACGATAATGATCTGTGGGATCCACAGGAGGTGTGGACAGGGGTAGGGGAAGCTTTAGGGGATGTTCTGTTGCAGTGCTAGGGGCAACCCTGAGAATTAGGTCTTGGATAACAGAGAGAGTGGGGCAGGTCTTCAGGCAGCCTACCTGTTCTTATGGCCAGTTTTTGGTTTCTTAATCTGAGAATGTTGGTTAGTTTAATGTTTGTTAGTGGTGATTTTCTGTTGTGCCGAATCTGTAGTATGATGGCCAGTCAGTTTGTAAAAAGCGTAATGCACAAGAATATCAGCAGGTTTGCACTGCTTTGACAGCTGGGGGTTAGTTAATGAAACTTGTATTTTTCCCTGATTATATCCTGTTTTTAAAAAGAACAAATGCCAATTGTTTTTCATTGTAAGTTTTGAAGTTACACAGTACTCAAATTTCACATTATACTCTAGCCACAGTCTAATCATAGGCATAATTGACTAGAAGGGTTTTCAGTTGAAGTGGCAGTACATGTTAAATGGGAGTTGCTGTGGTTATAGATTATGTGCCAGCACATCTAGAGTTTGTGTGGCTGCCAGGCATCTGACCTCAGGTCCTTCTCCAGGAAGTCCTCTATCCGCTGACACATCACCCTGGCTTATCGTGTGATAGTCTTTCCGTGATTAGGTTGACCT